CCTGGCTACAAAAGTGCGGGCTCCAACTTAGTTTTGGATGGGCCTAGGGTGTTGGACTCCTACGTGGTCAGTGTCTGGACTCTTGCAAAGCCTCCTGGTTTGGTTGCGGTTTGTGGGAAAACGGCAGTCCGGACTGCTCCACTGGGCGATGGAGGTCATCGTTGGATGGCTTGCGGGGTCCGGATAGCTTCGTCCGGACGGATACGGGGCGTTTGGGGGTCGGTGTTGCGGCTTCCCTTAGACTACTATGTTTGGCTGAAGGTGGAACTAAACTATGATGGTTTGGGATTAGTTCAATTTTACTTTGTACCTTCAATTTTCTCAAATATTTTGTTGATCTTTCATCAAGATGGACATGTGTAGTCCATAGCATTTTATTGCTGCTTGTTCTTCTTATGTCAATATTTTTATTTTATTTTGTTTGCATATAAAAGTCCTAGTAGGACTTTTTGAAAAAGACTCTCAAGGAGGTGCTCCTAAGGACTTTTACCAAAAAGTCCCAAAAAAGTGCCACCCTGTTTGGTTTGCTAGGGACTTTTTCTAGTCCCAACATAAAAAAATCCCTGGAAAAAAACACCCCCTAAATTTGTTCAGATAACATGGAACAATTAATGCAGTAAACCAATTAGAAAATTACCATATGAAATATGCATATTCAATGGTCAGTATTAACATACATTTCTAAAAGTTGATGTATCATTCCATCAAATATGGACGTGCGCGGCGACGCGCGCCAACATTGGTCCAGTGAACAAGAAAATGACCAGTCTTAAGTAAGGAGATGCTAGAGCATTATTTGGAATCTAAATGTAGAAATGCCAGCAATGTGTTCATATGGTGTCGGCTACCTATCAAAGTGGTCAAGGAGTGTTAACATTGGCAACTAACTCCTCTAGAATATTTGGATGAGCGGCCTTCAGGTTCTTGAAGTCATCAGTCTCTCTGATTGCCTTTAGGTTTTGAAAGGACGAGAGCAGCTTCAGGCATGCCTTCTTGAGCTCAACGCAACCATGTTTCTCAGCAAACAACAGTGCAGTTGCCACCATGCTTGTGTCAATGCAGTTGCACAATGTCTTCTCACAGACCAACTTGAGCTTCTGAAGGTTATATCTATCTGCGGCGACAAATAAAGCTTGAGCCATCTCCATGGTTTCATCATCATCTACCTCGGGCACGAAGTCGGTGTAGATAAAGTGAAGCAATGCCCGAAAAACCCTGGGGTTCATGTCATTGATCCGCACGCGTGGTTGGACATTCTGAAGGAACTGCTCCATAAATACCGAGGAGCGAGGAGCGAGCAAGCACCGGTGTGCAGCAAACGTCTCACAAGAGACCTCGAAAATCACATCCGCCACCTCGGCGGTTACAAGGATGCGGCTAAATTGTTCATGTATGTTGGAGGTTGGTACCATGACGAACTGTCGCGCTGTGTACTCCATGCGGAACTTGGTGACGGTGACATCACACTTGACACTGAAACAATCGCCAATAAGAGATGGGGACTCCTCCAATTCCTCCTTTTTGATGAATGTTGGAGACGCGATCCCGTCTCCTTTGTGAAAGCATGTCCGTGTCTGACATGATGTCGTGTATCTCGGCATCGGTTTTCCCGCATGGTCCAGTAAGCTAAAGGTGCATCTTATCTTGAAATCCGTGGCAGCGGTGTGACGAAGAACTAGACCGACGGATATCCAATCGCTGCCACCATCTGGGGCGTCGCAACCATCAGGGTAGTAGACCATATTCCAGCTATGTCCTCCCACGCTGAAGCTGCTCGATTGGAGGACGTCGCCGCCAAGGCCGACGGTATGGGAGTATCCCCTGACGGTGAGCACGTGTGAACCAGACACGACCTCCGCGGCAATGGTCGACCCTGTTTGAGCAGGAGCCGGCATATCAGCCGCCGACGATGACAGACTTGGAAGAGATCGATTGAACGGACAGCTAGAAAGGATTCTCTCTCTTTTTTTTATACGGGGAACTACGAGAAAGGCTATATGGTCGATATATGCATCGATCTTTTCTTAACTGATGGATTTATCCTAGGCACGTACGTACGTGTACATATTTATCAGATGTCCACGACATATTATATTTACGTTGTCCTTCCTATTCAGAGTCGAACTCGACAAGGATATTCAGAGTCGAACTCAACAAGGATATTTTCTACCACGTGGAATACGTGGTTTGCAGCCCAGACTTGTTTGATAAAAAAAAGATACTTTTTTATGAAGTCTGACTATATCACATCTAGATATGAGATAATACCTCACATCTAACTATGACCTCATTCTACATCAGCAGATAAATAAAGCCTGGCTATTGATTGTTGGGAAAAATCTAAGTTGTGGCGCCACACTTCGCACCTCCGGTGCGGTGGACTTATACGATGGACTACGCGTCACTGTATACTACTCCGTCCGTCGCATAATATAAGATGTCAAAAACACTCTTATATTATGGGACTGAGGAAGTACAGAATTCGCTACAGGAGTACAGTGCAAATGTTAGTGCTACAGAGGAACGCCTCGCATGCGCTCGTGGTGTGTACAATGCGACATTTGGTTACGTGGTGCCATGTTAGGTGGGGCCAGCTGCCATGCAGTACTCCTTGCTTTATTCATCTTCACTCTGCTATATGCTACTTTACATATTAACTATTAAGTACAGTATCTCTATACAACAAGAATTGTTGGGCGACGCAACTCCTTTTTTCTATCTCTTTTTAATAATTCGTCCTGCATATAATCTCTATAAATTCCCATACATCAACTTGTGTTAATAATAAAACACGTGATCAAGACCAAGATGCGTTTAAGTAGCATTTTTACCTTTCAAAAATAACAAGGCAATTAGGTAAAATTAAACCGACAAACAACAAGACAAGCGACGACAAAACACCCTGGCAAGTGATTTTACAACAACGGGCAATCTTTATTAAATAACCGGCCAGTAGGAAAAATCAAAATAACAAGCACAACAAAATAATGCAAAAAAGAGTTTTTACAACAACTCCCAAGCTTTATTTGACAACCGAGTAGAACTGAACTGATAAGCGCAGCAAAACATCGAGAGAACTGGGTTTGTAGAACAATTGACACGCTTTATCAGGCAACATGGAAACTAGGTAGAATTAAAATGACAAACACGTCAAAACATTTTGTGACAACCGGACTTTATAAGCACTAACAAGTTTTATGAAACAACATGGGAACTAGGTAGAATTAAAATGACAAACACGTCCAAACATTTTTTGAAAACCAGACTTTATAAGCACTAACAAGTTTTAGGAAACAAGATGGAAACAAGGTAGAATAAAAATGACAAGCACATAAAATTGGTCGTTGACCCCAGTTGCGGGTTGATGTGAACTTGTAATTGCAACAACGAAAACTTGGAGCCCAATTGCAAGTCGGTGGTGGACTTGCAATTGGGGTGAAGAATATAAAAAGATGGCGTACTCACAAAAACAAGGGTGGGCATGTACTAAGGCAACAAAAAATGGTCAAAAAAGTCTTGATTGCAAGTAGAGGGTCGGCTTGCAACTAGGAAAGGAGAACAAAAGAATGGCGGTGCTAGTTGTAAGCCGAGGGTGGACTTGCAAACTGAGGCGACAACCAAAATTCGAGCCCATTTGCGAGCTGAGGGTGGACTTGCAACTAGGGATGGAAACAAAGTACAAGCCCAGTTGCCAATCAAGGCTGGACTTGCAACTTGGAAAAGTACACAAAACTAAAATATCAGTTGCGAGTCGAGGGTGGACTTGCAACTGGGACAAGTACGAGCCTAGTTGCGTGTCAAGGGTGGATTTGCAATTAGGATGAAAAACAAGCTAAAGTCCAAGTTGCGAGTCGGGGATGGACTTGCAACTAGGATGAAAAACAAACTACGAGCCTAGTTGCAAGTTGAGTGTGGACTTGCAACTAGGACAACTACACAAAATTATGATACCATTTGTGAGTCGAGGGTGGACTTGCAACTAGGACAAATACTAAACCACATGCCCAGTTGTGACTCAAGGGTCGACTTGCAACTGGGATGACACTAACTACGATCCTAGATGATATCGTTCGCGAGTCGAGGTGGACTTGCAACTAGGAGAACAATAAACTACGAGCCAAGTTGTGGTTCGAACATGAACTTCAACTGAGATGAAAAACAAAACACAACCCTAATTGCAAGTTCAGGATGAACTTGCAACTGTGACAACTATGAAACTACAAGCATAGTTGTGATTCAAGGGTTGAAATGCAACTAGGATGAAACAAACTATGGGCATAGTAGCGAGTCATGAGTGGATTTCAACTGAGATGAAAAACAAAACACAGGCCGAGTTCCGAGTCAAGGGTGGAGTTGCAACTTGCAACCGGGATGAAACACACTATGGTCTAGTTGCAAGTCAAGGGAGGACTTGCAACTCAGACAACTACACAAACCTATGATACCATTTGCGAGTTGAGGGTGGAATGGCAACTGGGACAAGTACAAAACACAAGCCCACTTGCGAGTCGGGCGTGGACTTGCAAATGGGATGAAAAACAAAACACATGCCCAGTTGCAAGTCAAGGGTGGACTTGTAACTAGGACAATTACGAGCCCGTTTGCAAGTCGAGGTTGGACATACAATTGAGATGACTAGAAAACCACGAGCCTAGTTGCGATTCAGGGGTCGACTTGCAACTGGGGTGAAATGAAGTATGGGCCCAATTGCGAGTCCGTGGTGGACATGTAGCTGTGATGAAAAACAAAAACACAGGCTCCAATTGTGAGTCGAGTGGTGGGCTTGCAACTTGGAAAACTACGAGTCCGGTTGTTATTCTAGGGTGGACTTGCAAGTAGGAAAACTACAAAACTATGAGCATTGCGCGTGCTCTAGCTCTTGTCATGGGTTCACGTGGTGGTTGATGTGTTGGTGTAGAGTCCATGGGGATGATGGAAGGATGTTCCGCATCATCTCCCCCCCCCCTTGGGAGAGATCCGTCCATGGATCGTGATCTTCATCACCATGGTATGGGGCCAAGTCCTTGACGTTGAAGATGTCACTTACATTGTACTTGTCGCGTGGGATGTCGATCTAGTAGGCATTGTCATTGTATCGTGCTAGCACCTTGAAGAGCCTATCGGCTCGTGGTAGTAGCTTGGATTTGTGCTCGTTGGGAAAGCGGTCCTTGTGGACATGAAGCCATACGAGATCGCCCGGTTGGAACACCATTGGTGACTTGTTGATGTTGAGCTTGGTGGTGAGGCGTTGTACTTGACGCTTGATCGTGGCCCTTGTATCTTCATGCACCTTCTTGAGATAACTTGCTCTTGCACTTGCAGCCATGTTCACTCGTTATTGAAGTGGAAGTGGTAGGATGTCCAATGGGGACGATTGAAGCCGTAGACGACCTCGAAGGGGGACTTGCCGATAGTAGAGTGTCGTGCTCGATTGTAGGCGTATTCGGCAATGGGTAAGCACTCCTCCCACTCCTTGATTTTTTTCTTGATCAACACGCATATGGGAGTAGATAGTGTCTGATTGGTGACCTTCGTTTGTGAAAGCACAAGTGCTCCCTGGGTGATTTTGTATAACACCCTCGATGTGACTATAGCTCCCACGTGTCGAGGCACGACTTAGAGACATAATCGCATTGAAGGCATATGTCGCAAGTTAGGCAATCTTCACAACATCCCATGTAATATGATAATAAAAAGGGAGAGAACATAGTTGGCTTACACTCACCACGTCAATCAAGTACATAAATAACATTACATCATCCAAACACTCATGGCCCGACTACGGCGCCAAAATAAAAGAGAACCCAACATGCGACACGGTCCCAATCACCGCCAACTGGGCACCAATACTGATCATCGGGAAAGGAAACGTAGTATCATTGAGAGTCTTCGTCGAACTCCTACTTGAGCTCACACGCGTCTCCTGGAGCGGAATCATCAGGCCCTGCATCTGGTGTAATAGTAATCTGTGAGCCACAGGGACTCAGCAATCTCGCACCCTCGCGATCAAGACTATTTAAGCTTATAGGCAAGGTAAGGTAAAATATGTGTGGAACTGCAGTAAGCGACTAGCAAATATGGTGGCTAACTTATTCGCAAAGGAGAGCGAGAAGAGGAGGCAAAGCGTGAGCGAGAAACTAGAGAGCAACCTGCGCAAACATTACTCCAACACCGTGTCCACTTCCCGGACTCCGCCGAGAAGAGGCCATCACGGTAACACACTCAGTTGATTCATTTTAATTAAGTTAAGGTTCAAGTTATCTACAACCGGACATTAACGAATTCCCATCTGCCCATAACCGCGGGCACGGCTTTCGAAATTTCAATTCCTGCAGGGGAGTCCCAACTTGGCCCATGACAAGCTCTCACGGTCAACGAAGGAATAGACCTCCTCCCAAGATGTTCCGATCAGACTCGGTATCTCGGTAATTCAAGACTCTTCGACAGGTTAAAACAAGACCAGCAACACCGCCCGAATGTGCCGACAAATCCCGATAGGAGCTGCACATATCTCGTTCTCAGGACACACTCAGATAGGTCAAGCTACGAGTAAAACTAACCCTCAAGTTTCCCCGAGGTGGCCCCGCAGGCTGCCCGGTTCGGACCAACACTCA